GTATCCTTCATAGTATACTCAGCAACATCAGTAGGATCACTAGTCTCGGAATCCAATTCAAATCGTACTTCTTGACTTGCTAATTCTAATGCACCACCAGCCATACGTTTACGTCTAATAATCATCGCTGCCTTTAATAGACGTCTAATACCTATTAATGATTATGATAATGAATTGATGATGATGAATATTACTTTGAGTTAGATCCGAATTATCATTCTTATCATCAATACGTGCTTGTGCTTCAGCATAACTTAATGCAGCATTAGAGTTAATAATAGCCTTATGGAATTGGGTATTCACTATCTTTAATACTTCTTCATTTCCATTCTTTTTATTAAGTTGAAATTCCCATAATACCGAGAAGCATAATCTATCCTTACCACCGACTAGACTACATAAATCAGTAGTAAGAAGGCTTGGTAACATATCAGTCCTTCTTTCAACTAGATATACTGTAGTACATCTCTCAGCAGCTTCCTTATCAATAGCTGTATTAGGATGTACAAAGTGTGTTACATCAGCTATATGTACTCCTATACGCCAATTACCATTATCTAGAACCTATTATTAGATCCATTATAACAACATCCTAGTAGTAGAGGTAGTATTACTACTACTACTACTACCTCACAGCTTAGTGCATCATCAATATCCTTACAACCTGGTGGATCTATACTACATACCGTAACATTTCTTAAATCCAATCTACGGGATATCTCCTCTCTAAGAATAATAACGAGTACACAATGGTATGATGATGCTGCTGCCGTTGATGATGATGTTGGTGTTGTTTATTGATATTACTCATCTGGTTGGAAATCCTTGGGAGGTAGACATCGCATAACATCATCCGAGAAGTCTCTAGTAATAACATTATGTTCATGCAGTATAACTGATGATTCAGTATCCCTTTCACCACATCTGCCCAATATACGACTCCAATGACCCTATCATGATGATGAATAGCAATAATACTAGTAATACGATAATAAGTATTATTATTATTATTACTTGTGGTAGTCTAGATGTCCTATCCCATGTATCCATAACTACACATATTCTCATATTATCAAGATCATTACTATGTTTAGTAACTATCCTTATATTAGGTATACGAGGATTAGCAGGTATAAATATTCTCTCTATCTTACTGTACCCAACCATACCCCCACCATGCTGCTTATCTCCTCCTGCTCCTTGTTGTTGTTGCCTATTATGGAGTAATAAGTGATGATGATTACGATAATAAGGTATATTACTCTTCTTCTTCTTGTTGTATTGGTCTCAGAGTACCAGCATATTCCCTCCAATTACGTTTTATTATACCAACAACTCGTCCCTCCTTCTCGATAATACCTCCTACTATTACCACTACCCTACTACTATTAGGTACCAATACTTATCATCCCTTACCTTCTGGAGTTGTAGATTCCTCCTCTAATACTCTCTCCTCCATAGCCTCCGCACCACTAGTTGGTAGTACGGCAACATTATCATCATCATCGCCATCATCATTTGATGATGTTGATGTAGGAGTGTGTATCTCCTCAACGGCTACTACATCCCCATCAACAGCACGATTAATATTGAATCTGAATACTACTTATATAAGTACTATCATACGTATTATTATTATCATTACCTTCCTTTGATCATTAGATGTATCTCCTTATTCTTACTTGATACTACTACTACTTTACCTCTTTGCCATGAACTTACTGAACATCTGAGT